ACTCCAAAACCCTTCCATCTGACTATAACTTGTAAACCCTTGCCAGATAGAAAGAATGACAATTCTAGAAAGAACTAAAAAATTAAAAGCCTCCAAATCCAGGGTGCATTAAATGTCACTAAATCTGGCATAATGTTTCCTGAATCTGTCAGATAAGGGAAATCATGTATCCAGAATGAAGATGGAATATCAGTTGACAGAAGCCTATGAAGCTGGCGCTTCTCCTGAGAGACATATGACTCTAAAAACCCCATGGTGCCTCATCCTTTGAAAACACTGGGAGCCAGGAAGGTATTAGGACAATCAATAAGGTAAAAGTCTTCATCCCACTATTTGGAATGACTCCCACATAAGAATTAACTAACACTATACACAAAAGATATTAAAACGTTATCGCTACCCCTAGAAAACAAAGAGGTAAGCCCGCCTGACTTCTAGGGAGAGTTGTTGGAGAAAGAAGGTTAGAAAGGCTAACGGCAAGTCTAAGAGGTCATTTGTGTGGCACTGTCGCTCTGTCTACCCTCTTCAGGTGGAAGGATGTGTTGAACTTCAGTTCATCCGAATTCCTCTGTTCTGTCAGCGGTGCTGTGACACATTCTAATTTTCTGATTCATTTGTGATGAACAAGCTCTCCCTTTTCTATTCACAGTGCTAAAAGGAACCAATTTCTTTTCTTTCTTTCTTTTTATTGCACTATGATTTTCTCTTAGCAGAGTTCATCTCACTCTTTATCAGCCGGTGTGAGTGCCATGTGCAGAAAAGCCCTTGGACAGTACCAGTACTTAGGTTTGGAGCTAGTCAGGGGAATGAGAATCTGACGGCGGGATGCTGTTTTTAACCCAGCCAGATACCTCAGCTGGCAAGTGGCTCGGCTTCCGCACCATAAAATGGGTATAATAATAGCTTTCCCTTACCACTGTGAAATATTTAGAATGCAAATCGAGCCAAACCTGTCTTCTTCCAAAGGCGACGCTTAAACTAGCCTCCGAAATCCTGAATGAGCCCAGATTTCAAGGGGAAACATAAAGTGGGAACCACCTAGAGGTAGTGTAATTTAGTGGTTAAAAATATGTAGACTTTGGAATGGTACAGCCTTATTCAGAGCCCAGCAGCTGTATGATTTGGGGTAAGTTTCCCAATTTCTCAAATATCTTTTTTTTTCTCTAGTAAATTGGAAGTAACAGTATTTACTTGAATAGTCAGAATTAAATGATATACAGTTAATGCTTTTTGTTTCAAATTCTTCTATGTCCGTGATCTTCACGTTAGAGGGAAGATCCAGGGCTCAGGGTGCTGGGGACACTGCCTAAAGCAGTCTGCCACAAATGAGACTTGTCAGCGAGGTCTCAGGTTTCACCCTAAAAATACATACAGATTTTGCATTCTACTCCTCAATATAGTCTTGTTTGTCTCACTAAACTGGAAGTTCCACGAGGCCCAGAACAGTATCTGGTTTATTTCTTCTATAACATTCAAGAAATAGCTATTGGATACATGGATACATGTACAAATAAGAGTTGAAATTACATAGCCACGGGACAACTGCCCACCAAATAGACAGCCCTGTCTTTCTCAGTTATTCTGTGGCTTTTGTACTCCAGTGACACTGCCCCGCCTCCCCGGGCATACCCATAATCAAGCTTGAGAAGCATTTACTTAGCAGGATGCCTGAAGCCACAGAGGCACTCGGTTAATAGCAACGCTAGCATTTCGCTGCTCACTTCTCTGCCTCACTGTTCCGAAGGCTCTATGGACTTTTTTTTTTTTTAAGAAATTGTAAAGCACTAGGAAGGTCAGAGTCTGGGAGGCCTTTAAAGGAGTCTGTCTCTAACCACACACACTCACCCAGGTGTTTTCTGTACATTTTGTTTACTCCTGGCTTCTGCTTATAGCAACTTGTTAAAACTTCTAGAGGCCATAAGTAGTAGGATTGCAAGAGGGGGACAGGGAAGAGATAAACCAAAGAACGTGTATGCATATAAATATAACCAATGGACATAGACAACAATGCTGGGGGATTGGGGGAGATCGGGAGGGGGGTGTTAATGAGGGGACAAGGAGAAACATCTGTAATAAAAATAAATTAATTTAAAAAATTCCATTCACCTTAAAAAAAAAAAAAAGAGCTTTTTCTTCCCCTTCCCTTAGGCCAAGGGTCACTCACCTGGAATTCTTGATGACCATCATGGAGTCTGGGAGCTCCTTGAAACTTGGTGTTTTGGGGGAGTAATTGAGGGAAGGGATTCTCACAGGGATCTGTTTCACTGTTGTCCTAAAACATTACATAAATTGAAATCAGAATTGACTAATATTTAAGTTACAATTAATAATACTTTTAGTTCCTTGGCGATTGATAGTATATAGTAATTTCCTCTCAAAAATCACAAAACTAAGATTAGACTTCCACAAGTCACCTCCTCTCCTCATCTCCCCCTCTCTCCTCTTGCCTCCTGCACCATGTGTTAAGGTCCTGATTCATCTGGGCTTGCAGTTCTATAATCCTTGCTAAATATTTGTGCCTTGAACCTAGCATGCTTCATGCAAATGTTTTTAATGTTATGCAAAACTAGTATAGATCATCTTTTGCCTTTCAGACAAAAACAACTTACAGACATATAAGGTGAATTATCACTTAGGCAGAAGGGATGCATATTAATAAAATAACAATTTGAACTGAACAAAAATAAACCTATATAGATTAATACATATTCTCAAAATTGTCTAGCAGATTCTAATTCAATCAAGAAGTCGGGGCCTTTTGACGTTTATGAACATTTATTAATTGTATAAGAACTCTGAGATTAAATATTTAGCCTTTATATTAAATTTGGGATAGGCATTATTGTTCTTCATTAATATATAAAGAATAATTATATCCAATAAAATCTTCTATTTAACTTGGCCTTAATTTGTCTTAGACTGTGACATAACACACTGTGATTTTTCTCTCCATTTTGGGTTCCTGTCATTGACAGCCTGTGTGTCATTTGACATCCAGAAAGATAGTTTTTTATTCTAGGCTTTGGATGTATTGGTCAATATGGCACAATTTACATTGACCTCTTCTGATCACATCAACAATTTTGACTGGCTAACTTTTATGAGAAAAAAAAAAACAATGCTCCTTGAAATTTAGAAAGGCACATTATGTGTTTAGATATAAGAACATAAATACAAAGTATAATTTAAAAATAGCATAATATATTGTTGGGAGTTACTGAGTTTAGAGCATGCAACAGAAAAATGGTAAGTGAGCATATTCATAGGTAACCACTAATCATATTTTTCTCTTTCTCTTCAAAGGTTGAGAAAGAAAGCAAGCTCAAAAATGTTGAGAGAGAGGGAGGAAAACAAGGAAGGGAGGAAGGAAGGAAGGAAACAGAAGGGAAGGAGGGAGGGAGGGAGGGAGGGAGAGAGGGACGGAGGGAGGGACGGAGGGAGGGACGGAGGGAGGGACGGAGGGACGGAGGGACAAATATTTTAACAGATGTACCAGTGCAGTGGTCTAGGATCCTGGCTTACACAAGAGACTAGAATGTAGCAAAACTTAGAGCTTTAAAGTCTTTGAAGACTAGTCTGTTATATATTATATACATTTCAGGTTTGTGAGTACTTTCAATGAATCATAAATAATCTAATTATCTTGCTTAAAATTTTCATTGAGCTCATCAGTTTTGTGAAACAATTTGAAAGCATTGGAGAGCCCCGACCTCTCTTGTGTTTGCATACATTACAATCAGATTTTCACCTTAACTCTTGTCCATGGAGAGCTACACCATCCTTTACACTTGCATGTTCGTGGACAGGGTTCCACCTTGGAAATAAAGGAGAAACCCTTTCTTTGGAGGAACTTCTATGATCGTGTGTTTGTCCAGAAAATTTGCTGAGATGTGAAGTCTCTTTAATTGCCAGTTTTCTGCTTTAGCCTTATTCTGTGCCTAGTTATTTAATCAGATCCTTCTTGATCTCTTCTAATGCAGTTTGTTTTGCATCTTTCTGGGGGCCTTCTGTGAAGTGGTTAAAATCATGGTGTCAGAGAGAAGAATTCAAGCAGCATTAAGTCCTTGATACATTTGAGTAGGAGGGGGTGGGGAGACCTGCTTTGTTTTCTCTGCACCTTTGTTTGGTTTATTACTTTCTCCTGGCTGTTCTGTTACTTCTGTTTTATTCTTCTACAAGAGAAGCTATCAAAACAATGGTGAGCAGATCAGCCCCTTAATAGCTTATTTGGCTTGTGAGTTGAAGATTTAAAAGGGGAATTTTTAGATTAGAAATATAGAATGAGAAACTTAAGATCAGCTCCCCCAAACCTGAAGTTGTCATCATTAGAGATGTGTTTTAGGGGATAGACACTTGATCTTAATATCACTTTGTCAGAGGGGACACTGCCAGGCTGGGGTAGAGGAGCTAATATCAAGTCCTCAGCCAGCACCAACCCAGGTCCTCACTTGAGGTCAACAACACATGGAGATGGTGAATTTGTCCAGAGGATCTTCTGGGCACTAAATATAACTAAATATCCTTAAAGAACCAAAGTTTATAAGAGGTTGACTCATCTTTGTCAAAATTAGCTAAAATTTCTCGTGATCTACACAGTAAAGCTCTTACCTATTCTAGCCAGCGTGGCTCAATAGACATTTATGCAGCAATAGAAATGTTCCACCCGTAAGACAGCCACCGGCCACATGAAGCTGTCGAGTACTTGGAATGTCGCTAGTGTGACCTAGGAACTAAGCAGGTGTGCAGCACAGCTTTACAAAATCCTCAGGTGCTTCAGGTCAGAATGAACTGACAAAGAACCAGGTTGGCACTTCCTGTACTGGGAAGTCACAGCTTCGGAAAGTGTCACGCAGTTGGGTCTTTTTCCTTTGGGCTGCCGGTGACAAGGCGCGTCCTTTTGGAGCAACCAGCCCCGTCTGTGTAGTACTTAGATTTGCTTTCCTTCTCCCCATAGTGTCATCGGGTTCATTTTTAATTCCTTGTTTCTTCTTTGATTTCAGTTCGTTGACCATCAGTCCGTGGCCTGCCCCTTCTCCTTATGTAAGTAAAAGCGGTTTCTTTACTTTGCAAAACAGTGTCAGATGTGGGAAATGTGGGTCTTCATTGGCGTGTGCTCTGGTTGACTTTGTCGTGGTTTCCAGCACTTCTTCCGTGTGGGTCAGCTTATTCTGGGTTTGGAGTCGATGCTGTTGGTGGTAGTAGTAGTTGCCGTCCATGAGGGGGCTGAAAAGACCAGCGGCCCAGTGACTGGCCTTCTATAAAGACTGCCTTTTACTCAGCCACAGCTGCTGTTGGCGAGAGGCGCTGGTCCTCCCAGCTCGCGCTTACATTCTTCAGCCAGATGCCCATAACAGGTGGGCTTTTGCTCCACTGTCTGTCAATGGCCAATTATGTACTCTTCAGCCAGACACCATCCCTAGGTTCAGTGGTTCTTAATTTCAGCCTCTCGATCAGAGATTTCATATATTGACAAAATTTCTAATGTCCTTTTACTAAGAACTACAAGACTGCAGTGCAAGACTTCGGCCACTTAGGTTAAAACTTTGTGTGAAATTGTAAATCGGGGGGAACGGAGAGAGAGAAGTCCAGGATTAGATGCACTAGGAAGTTTGTAAAAAGTACCATTCTTCTTTAGAAAAAAATGCAAGTCATTTGAGGGGGGCAAAAACACCCAAAAACTTGATTTCAGATGAAAAGAGAGCATATTTATCATTTGAAACCCTAACTAGGCTGCACTGAGTTGGTTTGGGTAAATTTTACCTTGAGCTGCTTGAAAGAGGTTCTGGGGCAATGAACCTAAATAATCAAAGTCACTGAATGAAACACCACGTGAGAGATGCTACAGGTACTGGCATCACCTTATGTGAGAAATAATCATTTATTTATTTAAATAAATGATTCCTTCCAGCTGCTTCTTACTCTCCGGTGAGCACAGCTGGTTCCTTATTCACAACATCTTATCTTACTTCGCTGGCTTCTCACTCCCAGGTATTTCTTGGGTTGTAGTCATTCGCATGGAAAGGGGCTTCCCATGGCTCTTTTGCTTATGTGTGGTTTCCACTAATGTTCTTAGAACCTTGTTAAATATATTTAGGGGAGCAGAATCCTCCAAAGGATGCCCAGGCGAAAGTCTAAAGTGACAGTTATTTGACAGAAAAAGGAGATTGATTAAACTTCCCCAAAGACTGGTGCTGTGCATAATGCATTTATACAGCAGGGGTAGATCCTCCCTGCCCCTGACAAGTCTTGTCATTTCGCATTCTCGGTGTTGACAGGGGGTCTGTCAGTGTTTTGGAGGGGGTCAGTGTGCATGCTCATGGTTACCACTTTGTGTCTCTGCGTCCCCACCTCAGCCACCTAGCACTGCCTATTTCTAGTTCTCTGACTGGCAAATCATTTTTGTTACAGTTCTTTGTGTGAGAACAGTTCACATAATAGCTCTGTGTTCGACAAGGCATTAATCCTCACATCACCGGGATGAGTCAGCACAGTGCACTCCTGCCCGCACGGCTTGGCTATTATGACGTCAGCACTGTAGGGCGAGCCTCAGACACAAGCAGTACAGGGGACTGGGGACCTGTGTCACAGATTAGAGATCAAAAGGGAGACCTTTGAGATAAAAAATGTAATTGAAAGGCTGTCTCTGACTCATAGGAAAATGTGAAACTGATTCTGTGCTATATCAACCATCCATCGAGCAGCTTATAGAGGGATCCTAGTTTTTAACCAGAAATAGGGCTGGGAGAATGACCTGTAAGGGCTGATAGCCCATTCATGTGGCCACTAACCTTGTCCCACACCTGGGCCAAGCTCCATGCGCGCTGGGATTGTTCCAAATCCTGAGGCTTGCCTTTATGTCAAGGGTGGCAGGGCCTGTGACAGCCCTGTTGCCTGCAAGTGCCCCACAGACACAGCCCATGGCTCCAGAGGTGGCGCCCCAGATGCCTACCAAAGGAAAGAGAAAGGTTCCTTGGGAACAGATCAGAACATTATCCTCCCAGCGCTTCTAGCTCCCGGTGTCTCTGCAATGGCCTCCTTCAAACACGTGCAGGGTTCTGCCCATTTGACCTTCTCCCCTTGGCACTGCATCTAATCCAAAGTCCCAATGTGGATTGGACGCATATTTCAATAGGAACTGAATAGCTTCCAGATGTCCCCCCAGGAGTTTTCCATTTCATTATTATTTAGCAGAAACGAGGAGGAGTCCTCCACAACCTGCCATGCTGCCTTAAAGCAGGTATCCCGGACTTGTTCTCTTTGGGAAACCAGTTCCTATAAGTTAGACCTCTCTACAGTTCAGGCGCTGATTCATTCTCTGGACAATGCCTTTCAATATTGAAAACAGAGTGTTGAAAAAGCTGAAAAGTCACTGCTTCAGTTTACAAGACATTCCTCAATTGCACCATTTACCCCTCCCTTTCCTCTCGCCCTGTGATGACCATCTCGAAGTGCCTTACTTCTGGGATCCTCTGCCTTCCCCAGATTGCTAAGAGGCTCCTACCATGCTTCTAGAAGCTAATATTACTGCTTGGTTGGGTTTGATTCATTATCATGCACAGCTCTTTATTCAGTTTTTAGTCAACAAACATTTATGGAAAGCTAGTTACTGTGCTTAGTACCTGGAACTCCAAGATAAATAAGAAGTGCTGTCTGTTGTTAGGAATCTCACAGTCTGGTAGGGGAGATAAATAGTAAACAAAGGCTACACCATGTGGTCGGAGCTGGGATGGAGGTGTACACAAGATGTAATGAGGGTTGTGAGAAAGGAGGGACACTCTACATGTGAGGAGGTACTCAGGCTGGCCGTAGTCTAAAGAATGGATTGCTGTTTACTAGGTGGATGTGGAAAAGGGGAAAGCAGAAGGGGTTCATAAGCAGGGAAGAAAAGTCCGAACATTTGCAAAGTCAGGAGGCATCAGGCAGCAGCCAGCTCCAGAGGACGGTAGTTAGTTGGGCAGGAGCATGGTGGTTGGAAGAGGAGCCTGAGAGATGAGGCTGAAAAGTGGAAGGAGGCAGATCACAGAGGGCCTGGTGTGCCGTGCACAGGTAGGAGTTTGGACTTGATGCTGCAGGCTTGAGGAGGCTTTGAAGAATTTTAACCAGAGTTGTGTTTTAGAAAAAGGGCACTGTGCCCTGGCCAGTGTGGCTCTGTTGGCTGGAGCGCCGTCCCATACACTGAAAGGTGGCGGGTTTGATCCCCAGTTGGGGTCGGGGAGCCTGTGGGAGGCAACCGATCGATGTTTCTCTCACATCGATATTTCTCTCTCTCCCTCTTTCTCTCCCTTCTTCTCTCTAAAGTCAGTTAAAAAACAAACAACAAACAGAAAAAGAGAGCTCTGGTGATGGCAGAGAGGGATGACTGAGAAAAGGGAGACCAGGTCACACCAAGGGCCTGGACTATGCAGTGGAGGCGGGAGTGGAGAGGAGAGGCTGTCTGGTAGTGTTGATAGAGATGTTGGATTGGCTACTGCCAACAGTGCCCTCGCCTGCGAGGAGAAAGGCTGATGTGTTGTGTGGAGCCAAGTTTCAGATCAAAGTATCTTTACAGGAGCTTCACCAGAGACCTCAATTTGGATCTGACCTCACCCTGAGCTGCTGCCTACTGGTCTCCAGAGATGCGTGTCTCCTTCTCCCATAGTGGAGTTGGGGGTGGAACAGGCAGATACAGAGAAGACATTCCCAGTCCAGCTTTTCTCCTCTTTCATCCGAAAATGAAACAGTTTCTTAAGAATGCCCCCTAATGTCAACCAATGCCCCAATTTTCTATCATTTTCCCTTTGCTGCCTTTTCCTAAGCAGAAGTTTCAAGCCATTGAGCTGAATTCCAACTTATGCACAGCCGGGTGTTGAAACAATTCAGTATATTCATTCCTGCTTTCTGAATTAGAGTTCACCATAAGTGTGCTTTTCTCTTGTTCACTTTGGGCTGCCAGGACAATTTAAAGGAAATTTTCAACAGCTTATGTTTCATGTACCATGTTCTCTTTTGGAAATGGGAGGATATGCGTGGGTGTGTTTAAGTCTTCTCTATATTGCTCTCTGGAGAACGGTTTGAGAAGATGAACAAGACAAGGAATGGGGACCTTATGAAAGCCCAGGTCCCTTCACTGACCTGAGTGCAGAATGTAGGCTGGTGATCAGATGGTCAATTATGTGTTTGTCAAAACACAGTGGGCTGCATTCCAGACTGCCAGCTTTGGAGGCCCAGCTTCTGCCAACCAAATGTCATCTGGGAACATGCAACACTGGGCACTGTGAAGGAGTTTGAAATAGACCATGCCACAGCCAACCTACTGCCAGTCTTATAGCACCAATATGGCATGCACAGCCGGGCCCCATGTTTCAGAGCTCAGGAATTCACTGTACTAAATTCAAGAGGTCAGATGGGTTCATGTTTTCAAAGCCTATGTTCTCTGCTTTGAACATTGTGACTTGCTCCTCAGCAGTTTCCAAGGGATTTTTCCCGTCACATCTCTGTGGAAACCACTCTTTTTGTGATGGTTATGAGAGCCTTGTCAATGTCCCAGAGGAGAGGAAAACAATAAACTTGCTGACAATGACTGTGATTCCAACAGAGGGATTCCAACTCTTAGGAAATTACATTAAAGGTGCATAGCTTTTAAAATATCAGGAACCACCTTGGCAACTTATAAAAAACAGAAGGGCTTTGCCTATTTTATAAAGTGATTTGCATATACCTGCATAAATAATGTCTCCACCTGTACTTTTATGCATTTAGGTTGAATAAATTAAATTCAGTGATCTTTAAAATATTCACCGTCTTTCATTGCTCAGATACCATTTTCGGGACCCTTCCTTCTTATTTTTCTCCTGTGGTGGTAGTGGCTGTTTTTCAGTATTTCAGCTAATTCAGAGAATCCCAGCACTCTTCAGACCACTCTACCAATGCTCCTACCACTGCACGAGGAATGAGCATTGCCTTCCTCGGCTTACATTTCTCTCAGCCTTTCTTTCTTTTTTTTTTTTTTTTTTTTCCTTTAATTTTTTTTTCTTCATTAATTTTAGAGAGAGAGAAAGGAA